ATTCATGTATCGTTACTACTCCCATGTACTTTTATCTAATATTTCTTTTATTAATACTTTCAGTTCCTTTTAATAGCCATACTTACATTTTATCTACAGTCCTTAAGGGATACAGCTAATAGTGCTATTAGTGAATCATAATGATCATTATTTTCAAAGAAAGCTCCTATTCTTTTAAATGAATTTATCTTGTCTAGAATTTTGACTTTAATTTTTTTTCATACCTACATCTGTATACATTGTAATATTTTAAACATAAATCATTTCTGAGTCGCTTCAAAAGCTTGATCTTATTGTCATTTATCACTCTTTGATATAGATTTATACAATTTTTAAAGGATCTTAATAAGGCTGATAATATTCTCCATTCTTCAACGTGAAATTATAAACAGAATCATAATTTCTATCAATACTAATTGACAATTTTCTATGATTAATAAAGCATTGTGAAATTGAATCGGTATATTTATTAACAAGCATGGCCAGCTTATACAATCTTAAATAGCAAGTATCACTTTCAGCTAGGCCATACTATAATATGTAGCATTATAATAAGCATTATAATGCATCGCAGCAAAATCATTAATTGATTACTTAATTAAGCAATTGAAATTTTGATTGGATCTTAGTAGATAAATTCAATGGCAGGTGCAGGCTATCAACTTCCAGGAAAGATTAAAATTCCAAGTATATCCAATCAGATTAGGAAATCCTAAATAAACAATCTCAAGCAATACCAGGAATCATAATTTATCTTCTCAACAATAACCTTAGAGTAAGTACTTTAATTCCCATAAGGTTATTCAGTAGTAATAAACCTTCAACAATCAATAAATTGATCTCTATGAGGCTTAAAATATCTTTAAATTTTTTGAATCTATTTCTAACAACTTAAGCTGATATTTATCAATTTATTAATATTCTAAATAATTTAGATTGGAGATAAAAGTTGCCAGGTAATCTGAGTAATTAAATTATTAATGAAAGCTAAGTACAGATGAAAATAATGCTAGATAAGATAAATAATCTAGAGTTAGAGGTAAGCGAGCTAAAGGAAACTAATCACAAATATCTCAATACATTAGCAATAAATCGTTCTATCCAGGATTTCAGAACAAAGAACTAGTCAAACTTAGAAAAGAGAACGATGAGTTCAAGCTTATAAAAAGAGCATTGATCAGATCTGAATTTTCTAGTAATTTGTAAAATAATGATCAAAAAGTTAGTACTACTACCTTCAATAACGACAAAGTATCTACTAAAAATAACTTTACTAATTTGAATCCGATCCAAATCCTGCTTTTTTAAAAGCTACTCTCATAAATGGTTTAGATTAAGTTGAAATAGATGAAATAGGTACTGAGTAGTAATCTAGATTCGAATAAGATTGAACTTCCAGATTTCTTTAATAAGTAGAGAATGACTGGGTAAGGTATATCTTTAATTATTGATTATTCACCCATCAAAACTTCTAAATTATAGCTTGCACATATTGGTGATATAATAAAGTTTATGTAGGAAGTATTATCCTCAAGTTGATATCGATTTAAACTCACTTAAAAAATAATTATCTTTTATAACAAGGCAATTATCTAATACAATTAATTCTTAAAATCTTCAAGTCATTAAAAACAACGGTAACAGACAAGGCAGTGGAAGAAGTGGCCGATTTCGCTTGTAAGGCAGGATACCCCCTGGTTCGATCTCCTTCTACACTAAGGTAAAACAATCTTAAAATCTCAAGATTATGCTCGAGTGTTCGTACTTGAATTGTCTATCGCATATGCCTTTTTTGATATTTTGACCTCCCCTATTTTCACTAAACTAGCCATCAAGCTTTATAGTTGAAGTGTGAACTATGGAGTAAATAAGAAATTGCAGTTAAATAATTATGGGTCTTGATTCAATTACTTAATTATCATCTTAATTTGTTTTTTTTATTTTGAGTTGATTTGCTAATTATTTGTTAATACTGCTAGTATTCCTTCTAATACTACTAAATTTCTTTTAATTATACATTTCAACTCTATAATTGTTGGCTTTATTTCTTACTTTTCATTGAATTATAATCAATTAGCTTCTTGGATTAAAAATGTGTTGTAAGATAAGAATTCTTCGTAAATGGTACATGATAACAAACTAATCGAAGAGAATATCAATTGCGATATTTTATATTTTATGAAGTAATTTATGCCAAATGCAATGAAAAAGCGTCGATCATCTAGTTCACCATTTACGATGAGCAACAGCTTGATTAAATATAATAAAAATAACATTGACTATAAATGATTCATTTAAT